ATCGATTATTTCTTATTACAGAAAGTTAGTCTTTGAATATCTATCGCTCTATATCCGAAGTTCAAGAATCTGCAACAATTCTCTTCCCAACACTAATAGAAGTTTTTGTTTGATTTTGTTTAGTGGCATATTAATCTCGATGCGTTATTTAATGCCGAAATCTTAATATTTTGAACACAATGGCTTCAAGTAAATATATTTCTGGTGAGGTGGGTGGATAAAACTTGCCAAACGATGACTTCTTGTAGGTTCAACGGCCATTTAGCACAATGTGGCTGTTTTTTTTTTTTTTGGTTTAACGGTTTATCGACATCTATGTGTTATTTAATGCCGAAATCTTAATATTTTGAAAGCAATTTAATGGCTTCAACTAAATATATTTCTGGTGAGGTGGGTGGATAAAACCTGCCAAACGATGGCTTCTTGTAGGTTTAATGGCCATTTAGGACAATGAAGGTGCTTTGGTTGTTTTTGTTTAGCGGCATATCGACATTTATGGGTTATTTAATGCCGAAATCTAAATATGTCTTATGCTATTTTATGGCTTCAACTACAGCTAAATGTATTGTTGGTCATTTTACTGTAAATATGAATTGTTAGCAATTTTTTACATAAAAATATATTGCTGGTATTTTTACTATAAAAATGCATTCTTATGTTTTCATAGTGGTTTTTGTTTGTTTGTTTGTTTATTTGGGGGTTCACTTTTTGCCCATAGCTGGGACCCTAACAGGTGCCAGCACCCCGGGTCAGGGTGAACCTGGAAGCAAAAGTAATGAAGAGATGGTTCCACGCCCTACCATTCTACCGATCAAAGGTCTTGCAGTCGGATCTAGTTTATTGCCATGCCCATGATTAATAGAAGTAAGCATATATATAAAAAAAAAAAAAATGACTAATGAAGAATTTCTTGATGTCTGCAGACGAACCAATTAGAATTCTCGCTAGGTTTTGCAATTTTCATCCTTAACATGAAGCAGATATCGTAACTTTTTTTCTATGACACCAGACAGTACTAGACACCACCTACCAAGTTCTATCGTTACAAGAATCAGATCAGACGAAAAAAACTGAAGTATCGCTGACAAACCGCGGCTGGAGATGACAAGTCCTTTCTCTCCAACCTTGATATATTTCGAAAGCTTTTACGAGGCCACGTAGACAATTAATTATTTACCTCCTCACAATCCCTTCTCCATAGACGCAGCGTCAGAAGTCTAAATGTCAGTAAAGTGTTATCACAAGACAACGCAAAATGCGACACACAAAAAGAAATGGTGAAAGAGTTTTCCAGAAACAGAGTCAGAGCAAAATATTTCAGGAACCTTTTGTTGAAAACAAAGAAAAGAGTGCTGAACTGCTGCGTAATATCTAATCTCCAGTGTGGTAGTAAATACAGGACAATCTCCTCATGCTTTTCATAAACTAAGCAAAGTATTAAGAGATAGGAAAATGTCATTAGAAACAAAGAAAAGACTGCTGAACTGCTACGTAATATCTAATCTCCAGTGTGGTAGTGAATACTGAACAATCTCCTCTTGCTTTTCATAAACTAAGCAAAGTATTAAGAGATGGAAAAATGTCGTTAGAAACTAAGAAAAGCGCATTGAACTGCTATGTAATATCTAATCTCTTATATAAAAGGGAATGCTGGACAAACTCTTCATGCCTTTCATAAAATAAGCAAAGTATTAAGAGATAGGAAAATGTCATTATAAAGAAAGAAAAGACTACTGAACTGCTACGTAATATCTAATCTCCGGCATGACAGTGAATGCTGGTAATCTCATGCCTTTCATAAACTAAGCAAAGATTAAGTGATAGAAAATGTAATTAGAAACAAAGAAAAGAGGTCTGAACTGCTACGTAATATCTAATCTCCAATGAGGTAGTAAATACTGGACAATCTCCTCATGCCTTTCATAAACTAAGCAAAGTATTAAGAGATAGGAAAATGTCGTTAGAAACAAAGAAAAGAGGTCTGAACTTCTATGTAATATCTAATCTTCTATATGACAATGAATGTTAGACAATCTCCTCATGTTTTTCATAAGCTAAGCAAAGAGATAGGAAAATGTCATTATAAAGAAAGAAAAGACTGCTGAACTGCTACGTAATATCTAATCTCCTGTATGGCAGTGAATGCTGGTAATCTCATGCCTTTCATAAAATAAGCAAAGGATTAAGTGATAGAAAATGTCATTAGAAACAAAGAAAAGAGGGCTGAACTGCTATGTAATCTCCTATATGACAATTATCCACGGATAAAATGTGCTTCTACGCAGGAAGGCTACGACTACCATGTACGGAACTAGTGAGCAACGATTAATTATTAAAGATAATGGAAATGAAAAGGACTTTTTTTTTTGGTTAAGATGAAAAAAAAACATAGTTTAAAAATTTTAGGTCACATAATGAGGAAAATATATTTGGGGAATCTTATAACCATTTCTGTCTGCCATCAGTATGGCTTATGCTAACCTTAGAAGTGCAAAACACTACACATTCTTGGCCTCACGTTTTCCACTGGTATGACGTAAATCGCCAATATTGAATCAATTGGTACATCGACTGAAAGGAAAGTTGGTTCTTTGTGTGGTGGCAAAAATCTTTTTTTTTCATCAGAATCCATCTTGCACATTTATAAATCTACCATTCGTCCGTGCATTGAATACCGTTGCAACATGTGCTCTGGTGCTCCTGTTGTACATCTAGAGATTCTTGACAAAATCCAAAGAAGTATTTGTAATGTAATCAATCCTGACCGGACATGTCGTCTTCAGTCACATTCTCACCGACGTGATAGCTTCCCTCTGTCTTTTTTACAAATATGCCCATGGCAATTGCTCTGGCGAGCTTTTTACCTTTTTACGTAGGGGACATAAATTTAAGTGTGTTACTAGATTGGCAATTAGGTCTCAATGTTTTACTGTTGAAATAGCCAAATGCAACCGCCAGTTTTACGCCAACCGTTTCTTTTCTCGCATTTCCCAGCCATGGAAGTACCTTACGTTTTTTTCATCTCTGATAACTACAATTGTCCAAAATTTGAATGTAAAGTCAATCGCCATATTCTGTCTCCTTGAACTCTTTTCATTTTATCTCCTTCACTCAATCCTCCACAATCTTAGTTTTCTCATTCACTTTCACTTTCACTTTCACTTTTACTCTCTATAATCACCTGCATTCTTGGAGTATTACCGCTTTGATTGAAGTGAAATGATAAAAAATGTCTTCAAGGTATGAAAGAAAAAGACCATCGAGTAACCTACTTAACAAAGTTTTGTAAATAGAGGGGGGAACATGGATATGAGGGTTAATCAGGTGTCAAACTCGGTTTAGAGCTACAAGGGATAGAGATTCATGGAATGACCACGCCCTGAAGAGATACGAAAGAATATGAGTATTTTCACTTTAACTGCTCCGACGAGATACTTTTACTTGTCCCCAAACTAGATAAATTTAAGCAGGTTACTAGGTTGGGGTCATTGTCGAAACGGTTAAATGTCGCTGTCTCTTCTACTTCAACATCTTCTTATCTCGCACTTCCCGTCATCGGAACTCCCTTCCTCTTACTTGTTTCCTTGATAGCTATAATCTTTAAATATTCCAATGTAATGTTAATCGACATTTTCTTATGCTTTGGTCTTGATCCCCGTCCTTCTATCTATCCTTTCCTCAAACCCCCTTCTTTACTCTTGCTCTCACTCTCTGTAACCCATTGCGCGCAAGTGGCACTCCCGCCTTGCTCGGGTGAAATGCTTATATATATATATATATATATATATATATATATATATATATATATATATATATATATATATATATAAGCCTTTCGATGAATTAATTAAATATAATTATCAAATCCTCCTAATAATTTCCATCTATGTATATCATTGCTTGAACCGGCTTCTAATGCTCTAGAGTGAGCGGTTTGGTCATAGTAGTCGTGGCTCCAGGGGGTACAGTCCTATGGTTACAGAGAACTCAGTAGAGTTCCACCACGGAATATGTGAGCGAGCGGCGCTTTATTGAATCTGATTTGCAATCCCTTCGTCACCGATGCCCATTGGAAGAGTTGGTATGATGTTTGCTTGACAACCTAACTGTCAGGGTTTCAATTCTCGGTATCGGATGCGCACTGCTGATGAGTCCCAAATATAGGACGAAACGGCCGTCCAGTGCATTCTGTTGAGGTTTCTTTCAGACTCGATGAATTAATTATATATATATGTTGATTTTTTTTTAAAATGTCTATTTTTAAAGCCATAATTTCAGAAATTAAAATTTGAATTCTTATATCTTCAGAATATATTATATATTTCTGAGAAAAAGGAAAAAGGGCTTGAAGAATCCAACACTCAAAGGACATATTGAAATCGGTAACAGGGAAACAGCATGTAGAATTTAAGCGCAGTACTGAATTGACAGCGATGTCTCATCATTTTCCCGTTGAAATGGCTATATGCAACCGTAAGCTCTACACTAACAGTTACTTCTATCGCACTTCTCGACTGTGGAAATCTCTTTCGGTATCTCACCTCCTACTCAACCTTGCTTTTTAAAAATTGAAAGTCAATATCAATTGTTATCTTCTGTTTTCTTAATTCCTGTTCTTTTATTGTTCTCTCTCTATTTTTTTCTCATATTATCTAACACTCACTGACTCCACTTGCGTCTTAGTGGCTTTATTAGTCTTACTTGGGTGAAAATGATTAAAAAAGGGTAACGAGCTTGGATAGCAAAATAGGGACTAGGAGGATAGTAAATGGAGAAACATTGCTTAGAGACATAAAGGTTAGGATGTTGTGGAGAGCCATGATCAACCACCTAACGAGTAAATGGATGACGGAACAGTAATTGAGAGGGAGAGTAAGGAGAGAACAATTGCTTAGAGCGACAAAAACGTAGGAAGTTGTGGAGACCCATGTTCACTTAGGAAACGAGTTTGTGTAAATGCATGACGGAGCAGATTGGGAGTGGTAGTAAGGAAACAAATATTACGAGAGGGGAGAGAAGTGAGTGAGTGAGTGAGTGAGAGAGAGAGAGAGAGAGAGAGAGAGAGAGAGATGGTGAGAGAAGGATAAGGAACGGGAAAAATGTGTGTGAGAGAGGCTAACGGAAGGTAGTGAGAGAGGAAGAGAGGGAAAGAGAGAGTGAGAGAGATAGTAAGGAAGCGAAAGAAAGAGTTGGGAAGAGAGAAACAGGAAAGGAAAGCTGCAAAGCGAAAGATAGAGAAATACAGAGAAAGGATAGGAAGTTGTGAAGAGACATGATCACCTATCTTACACCTTGTGTAAATGTATAGCAGAACAAAGATTGGGACGGATAATAAGAAGTCACAAGTTACTTACATCTACAAAGGGTAGGAAGTTGTGGAGAGCCATGATCACCTATCATGTGTAAATAGATGACAGAACAAGGACTGAAGGGGACAGTAAGGAGATAAATATTACTTAGATCTACAAAGGATAGGAAGTTGTGGAGAGCAGTGATCTCCTACCTAATGAGGTTGTGTAAACGGTTGGCAAAACAAGGATTTGTTGGGACAGTAAGTTTACAAATATTACTTACTGCTACAAAGGATAGGAAGTTGTGGAGAACCATAATCACCTCTCTACCTACTATGTCTAAATGGATGACAGAACAATGTTAGTTAGTAATTTTAAAATCATTACCTACAACTACAAAGGATAGGAAGTTGTGGAGAGCCATAGTCACCTGTCTAACAAGCTTGTTTAAATGGATGTCAGAACAAGGATTAGAGTGGGTAGTAAGGTGATAAATATTACTTACGTCTACAAAGGATAGGAAGTTGTGGAGAACCATGATTAATCTCATCTTGGTGGGATACAACACACAACAGAAGATTCTGTGACGATTGTAAGTATCACGAGTTCGAAAAAAATTAGCTGCGCGATAACGTCTTCCTTGTGCCAGACTTAAACGAACCAAGTAAATGTCTGTTTTCATAGCGACTTGATCGACTTGTATTTGCAGCTCTCCGGAAAGATTAGCAATCTTATATAAATCACATATCGATCTATAGATTTTAAAAGACTCGTTCTTTCTACCTGAATCGTTTTCCGCTTTTGCCTTCTCTTTTAGATTATGAGGAATTTTTTTTTTTTTTTTGATTGCAATCGGAAAATGAAAATCCTTGTAATTAGCCGAGAAACATGCTCAGCGATCTAAAGATAACGTCTTCTCGCGAGTTTTCGTGCTGATCGGTCTAAGAGCTGGAGCGATATCAAATATCAGATCGTTTTTACGATTCCACTTACCTCATTGCCGGTAAACTTAGCGCAAGAGTCGCGCTCAAAATGAAACGCGTTCAAAGTCTGCAAGCAGTCGCACTCTGGTGATCTGTATCAGGGCTCTCCGTAGCCGTTCATTCGCGAAAGAGACGTAGTTGTGCTGCGTTATCAGGGCAGAGAATCGGTGTCAGTGGAAAGATTTTAGTGGTTTTTGAACTGAGAGAAAAGATGGAAAAGTGAAGTGAAGTGGCTGGATACATTTTACTCCAGTTGAAAGTGGAAGAGAAGTGACTAGAACCGAGAATAAACGGCAGTCGGAAGTGTGGATGTATTAAAGCGGAAATTACAGAAAGAAGAGGCTGGGTAGTTGGGAATGTAGCCGAAAGGGTGGGAAGAGAGAGAGAGAGAGAGAGAGAGAGAGAGAGAGAGAGAGAGAGAGAGAGGGAAAGAAAAGGGTGAGAAGAAGGAGATGAGAGAGAGAGTGACGGAGGAAGAGAGACGAGGAGAAAATTTGAGAGAGAGAGAGAGAGTGACAGACAGAAAGAGAGAGTGGAAGAGAGACAGTGAGTGACGTAGAGAGAATGAGAGAGTGAGTGAAAGGTAGAGTGACAGCGTGAGATTGATGAAAGGATTGAGAGGCAGTGAGTGAAGGGGAGAAGAATAGAGTGAAAGAGAGCGAGAAGTGAGTGAGAGAGAGAGAGAGAGAGATGGTGACAGGAGGATAAGGAACGTGAAAATATGTGTGAGAGAGGGTAACGGGAGGAAGTGAGAAAGGGAGTTAGAGGGAAAGAGAGAATTAGAGAGATAATAAGGAAGCCAAAGAAAGAGTGGGGAAGAAAGAAACAGGAAAGGAAAGCAGCAAAGAGAGAGAGAGAGAGAGGTCGAAGTGAGAGAGAGAGAGAGAGAGAGAGAAATACAGAGAAAAGGTAATAAAGGGATAGGGAGAGGTTGAAAGACCATATAAGAGATAGATAGATAGATAGATAGATAGATAGATAGATAGAAAGAGTGAGAGGAGAGGGAAGAGCAAGAGACCGAGAGAGGAAGGGTGAGAAGAAGGAATAGAGTGAGATGGGAGTGAGAGAGTGAAGTAAGAGAGACAAGGAGAAAGAGAGAGATGAAGGGAAGCAGAATTAGTGACGTATGGAGATAGAGAAGGAGAGAGAGAAAGGTAGTATGATAGAGTGAGACTGATGAAAAGAGTGAGTGGAGTGGCAGATAGTGAAGGGGAGAAGAATAGAAGGAACAGAGTGTGGGAGGGAGTGAAGGGAATACGAAAAAAGAGAGGTAATGTGATAGGAGCGAGTAAAAGCGTGTGTGTGAGAGAGTAACGGGAAGGGGAGAGAGAGGGCGTTAGGTGGAAAGAGAGTGTTATGGAGAGAGCGAAAGAGATACTAAGAGAGGTCGAAGTGAGAGAGAGAGTGGTGAAGAGAGAAGCAGAAAATGTGGGAAAGAAAAGGAAAGAGAAATAGAGAAATATATAAAGAGGGAAGTAAATAGATAGGGAGAAACAGAGGGACGGTGTAAGAGAGAGAGAGAGAGAGAGAGAGAGGGGGAGAGGGAGAGAGGGAGGAGCGGTGAAAGAGAGTTGGAAAGAGAAATAAAAAAGTGAAGCAAAAATATATCTTTGTAATAATATTCATGTTCAGATCAGGGTGGCAGTCTATCTAGGAGAGCGAGTACAAGACTTTGCACGTAATTTAATGCAACATTAAAATATGCTTCACGTTAAGATTGATTGATCTATTTTTTCTATTGATTATCTGTAACAGTTATAGATCCGAATACAAGCATGGACGTGTGGATAGTACAAGCATGATACAAGTATGATCTTTGTAATAATATTCATGTTCAGATCAGGGTGGAAGTCTATCTAGGAGAGCGAGTACACGGATTTGAAAGGTTGATTGATCTGTTTTCTATTGATTATCAACCCGTTTACAGCTTATCATATGTGAAGCACAGGGCATGTGATTTCCACGTCCGTACGTCATATGTGGTGTACACGAGCCATGATTTTAAAAGAGTCGTTGAACTAAGGACGCTCAAGGAAAGCGTCTACTATTGAGCAGGACGTCTTTAATAGTTCTAGATCTGTAAACAAGCATAGACGTGTGGATAATACACATGAAATTTCCGTGAATCGGCAAAGGTTTAAGTACATGATGATTTATGTCATTGTCTTGATTTGTTTGCTGCATATATGTAGGCCGATGTATTTAAATGATCTTTTATTGATATCGAGGATCCCAATTTACACTATTTAAATTGTTCTCCTCATCTTTGAGAATGAACATTTGGATTGTACACACGAAATTGGTAAAGAGTTAATCTGACCCATGTTCAAATTAAGGTGGAAGTCTATCTAGGAGAACGTGTAGAAGGGTTTGCACGCCCGTGTGACATATGTATTGCACACGAGCCATGATTTTAAAAGAGTACTAAAATTGAGAACGCTTAAGAAAGGAGTCTACTATTAAGCAGGGCGTCTAAGAAAATGTCTACTCTAATATTTTGGGCATCAAATATGACTACAGGACTCTCTGTAACCCTTTGCGTGCTAGTGACACTCCCGTTCTGCTTGGGGTGATATGCTTAACAAAATGTTTACTACACATAGAGGAATTTATAATTTCATGCATGTATTCAACTACAATGCCTATATAGGCCGAGGTATTTAAACGATCTTTTATTGATATCGAGGAACCCAATTTACACTGTTTAAATTTTTGTCCGTTGAGCATGAAAGTTTGGATAGTATACACACGAAACTGGCAAAGGGTTGATCTGAAGCATGTTCAGATCAGGGTGGCAGTCTCTCTAGGAGGACGATTACTATTAAGCAGGACGTCCAAGGAAAGGTCAACTCTAATATTTTGTGCATCAAATAAAACCACAGGACACTTGCTTGTTTTCAGATTTATAACTACTGCAAAGCAACTCAGGTTATTTGGCATCTAGAATGTGTTCATATATAGTATTTCCAATAATAAAAACCTGTGCAACACATGTGATGCACACAGTGTAGTGTAAATAACTTATGATTTGTATGTTTTTATTATGCTAAACACTGTATATCATCACATTCTATTTGTCAAACAAACTGAGTTGCCTTGCAATAGACATAAATCTGACAAGCACAAGTATGTATGTTTGGATGGTAGACATGTAAATGCCATGGACAGGCAAAGGGTTAAAACTGTTTTAAGGTGGATAATAAATTCAAAGATTTCAAAGACAATAGATTATAACATTTCGTAGAGGTGAGGGATCTGAACCCTATTCCTGAAAATAGCGATTAAACAGTGAATGGATTGCAATGTCACATCAGCAAAAGGTGTTATAGGGTAGAAAATAATTTGTCACCCACAAAGACACAGAGACTCTTTTGAACTCGATTGAGACTGGAAAGAGAAGACTGTGCAGCTCCAACCCATATATAGCAGTAGTACTATATTTTCAGCTTGATGTGTCTCTTGTAGTGGTAGAGGACAGCAAGAGGAGTCGTAAATCGAATCAACTATTCACATATGATGCACAAGTTATATTATTTCTACGTCCGTGCATCATATGTGGTGTACACGAGCCATGATTTTAAAAAAATGCTAAAATTAAGGACGTTTGAGAAAGGAGTCTACTATTAAGCAGGATGTCTAAGGAAAGGCAAAATCTAATATTTTGTGCAACAAATATGACCACAGGACGTTTCCCTGTTTTCAGATTTATAACTACTGCAAGACAACTCAGGTTATTTGGCAAATAGAATTTGCTCATATATAGTGTTTTCATAATAAAAAAAACCTGTGTATCACATGTGATCCACAGAGTGTAGTGTAAATAATTTATGATTTGTACATTTTATTATAAATTATAAATATATATATATATATATATATATATATATATATATATATATATATATATATATATATAGTTGATTTTCCAAGCGTAGCTTAGATGGGGCACAAGGTCGAAAGTATGGGGCACCCAGTGAGGATCGAACTCACTATTCAGTCGTAATTGTTTTAGCGAGACAAGCTTGCTCCCAAACATATATATATATATATATATATATATATATATATATATATATATATATATATATATATATATATATATATATATATATATATACATTCTATTTGCCAAACAAGCAGAGTTGCCTTGCAATAGTTATAAATCTGAAAACAAGCATGGACGTTTGGATAGTAGACACGGAAATTCCCTGAATAGGCAAAGAGTTAAAACCTGAAATTAATTTTAGATTGTAAGAATATTTTCTATTTGAGGTAATTATTTAGTGATATATGCCTCAATAATTAACTCATACCTAGGGTAAGAAGAGATGGATTAATACCTTTGCCCAACGATATTTGCCCGTAAGTGAATATAACGAACCCAATTGAAATTGGAACTCGCCTCTCCGATTAAAAATTCAGGGCTATTATCCTTTAAACAAAGCTTACAACACTAAGTGGCTACGCATCTAGGTACTGACCGGGTGGTTATCGTATGGGAATCGGTATTTCAACGTGAGGATATGTAGGATAGATAACAGTTGGTCCTAGACTTAAAGGGGTTGAGATTATAGTGATCGGGGAAGCCTATTTTACAAAGTAGCGGTTCTTAGATAGAATTTGAGTGGAACTGTTCATCTCGAGGTTAGACGTTGTTCGGAGTAGAAGAAATGAACTTGTTTATATAAATGACCAAAGATTGATTTTTATATACAAGTTAAAAAAATGTCTCTGGTAAGTGGTATACTTCAGCGGGTTGAATGTGCGGTGTACTCGGTGTGAAGTGAAGGGGTATGCTTGGTAGTGATTGTCGTGCTGATAGGGTTCGTTCATTTACTGTGTTTACAGGAGGCCGTTTACAAAGCCTAATGGTCGGACGGGCAGTCATCCGTGGCCGCGTGAAGTCTTTATTCGCTTTCTGTTAGCATGATGCTGTCCGGGTTCTTATAGAGAAACGAGAGGACGGAGTTGAAAGCATTTGTGGCAAACTAGATTCGCCTCAATAATGGTTAGCAGTCTGATATATTTGTGTTTCTTTTAAAATTTGTTTTGAGTAGAGTGCGGAGTTTGTGTAACTTAGCTAGACGAAAATTTGCGTGTAGTTATATATATATATATATATATATTCTAATAATTGTGTAAATTAGCTTTAATTTGTAATCTCTAATGTGTAAATTGTGTTTTTCCGCTACAGAACTTCTTCCTTAATAATGAAATATTTTTTTACTAGAACTGTTACTTTCAGGAAGATACTTCTGAACTCTACACTCTTAACCTCTTCAAGTCAGGGGTTAATCGCTATCTATCCGACTAATCCTCATTATCTTCATAATCTAAATAACTCCTTTTACATTCAAATCCCACTCCTCATTCAGTAACAATCTACCATGAGTGGCTCTTGAGCCTCGTATTGGGGGAATATTAGTCTAAGAAAAAATAATCAAAGAACATAGCAGATGGTGGATTTTGCTCTTCTAGAAATTTAATTGAAAATGATATACATAGATATAAGCACTGTTAGGTGAAGATGACGGTCTTGCTGGTAATTATGTGAGCACTGGGATATTGAGAAAACCAGCTGTGACTTAGTGTCTGATGTATTTCAGCAGATCCAACTGGTCTGAACACCCATGAAAAATATAACGTTGCGTTTTCGCTTATTTCGTCTGTGACTGGAAGCCTGTAGGAGAATTTATGTTTGCCCGAATGTGAAATAAACTTGAACAGAAAATAAAACGAAACCTAACCGAGTCAAACGAAATAAACCTACAGAAACAGTCAGAGAAGCGAATAAAACTCAAATGCAGGGCGCCATTTTGAAAAAAAAAGAAACATTGATCGGCTAATAAAATCTCTGCCATATTCGAACTTAAGCGCGTTTCACAAGAGCAGAAATTAATTTAGCCTTACGTTCTGTATGCTTTTTCTTTTCTCCACAATTTTCTTTCGTTTTATTCATTTATTCTATTGGGTGGAAGCAGAAAAAAAGAATTGTTCCAGGAGATGGAGAAGGAGTAAAAGGATTTGAAAATATTGAATCGTTTTTAATTATTGAATTATTGGAAATATCGATTCGTTTTCGATTTTTTTTTTTTTTTAGTGTTAAATTGTCTTCCACTGACGTTCATTTTCTTTTCTCGTTTTGAAGAAACGATTCATTTGCACGGAATTGTTGAGACTGCAAATAATGCAGGCGTATTTCGAGAAATATGCCGTCGTATGCAAATATATATGATGAAGAAGATAACAAATTAATTGCATAACAAGCATATTACACACACGCGGATTGTAATGAGGGTGAATCGGTACGAAAAAGAAACTGTGGAGAAACATAATCGGTGAAATGGCAGAGAGAGAAAGAGCGAGAGAGTGAGAGAGAGAGAAAATGTCTCTGTAATGTATCCCCTTCTTTTAGTACATTTTCCTTTTCGTGCTATCATCTTCTTTTCTATCTAATCTCTATATCCTCAGTTTCTTTTTCATCTATCTATTTTCCTTTTCTATCTATTTTATCTATCTATCTATCTATCTATCTATCTATCTCTATCTATCTAGTCTGTACATTATCATCTATCTATCTATCTATCTATCTATCTCAGTCTGTACATTATCTATCTATCTATCTATCTATCTATCATCTATCTATCTATCTATCTATATCTCAGTCTGTGCATTATCTATCGATCTATCTATCTATCAAGAGAATAAAGATTTCTCATTTTCAAAAAACCTTTAACAGTCACTATACAGATTTCCTTGTTTTTGAATTGCTAAGAATAAACAAAAGCATTTGATAAGGTACGGCGCAAAGATCGATTTGAAATTCTCGGAAAACAATCTGAGAAGCACGTAAGAATAACTTATACTGGGAGCAAATAGTCTGCAGACGATGGAAAATGTATTGGATAAATACATACAGTAGTTGTGGTATGACATTTTTTGCAGGGATGAGCTCGAAGGTGACTGTAGAGTCTAATACGGGAACGGTAAAGACGCCTGCAATGGGAACAGGGAAACTGGCCCACAGATTTGGGTGCTTAATCTCCCGCCTTCCTTAATGGATGCGTCTCATTGATGCTGTCACGTCGGTTTGCCGTAAATGTCTCTGTTGCTTCGCGTGTCAGGGCACGTCGTCTTGTTTAATCCTGCGCGCATTTTTTAAGTTGTTTGGGGGCTATTCGAGAATGATCGATATTGGCCTTGATGTTGTTGCAAGATGTTTCTGTGGCCCACCATGATTTCTTTTTCCCTTAGATGGCTCGCCATAGAGAAATTGCATTGGGATTCGGTCTATTCTGATGACATGTCCCGTTCATTCTTAGTCGGGCTTTTAGGATCATGGCTTCAGTGTTGGGGGTTTCTATAATCTTATCCTGCCATTTGATAGGCAGGATGGATCCCAAACTTCGCACGTAAAAATGCTCCAATAGTTTGATGTGTCTTCTTTATGGAGGTGAAACGTAGATTATGAGTAAATACAAGAAAATAGAAAAGCGTGTAAACCATGGATGTTTACTTCAACCAGTTTATTCAACCTTTGTAATGTGGCTATCCTAAGGTAGCTGGTGACTCTATTAGAATTCGTTATCGGCGGGCACAATTTTGACAACATAAGACACGCGGGTTTGGTCCGTTTTGACGTAATCCAGTTGGCGTGGCTGATTCAACGTGGCTGATTCGGCGTCAGAAAAAATAATTGGACTCTTCGACACAGCCGTTTAGGCGTCAGGTTCTTTCGACGCCACTGTCTTTGACCAGAAGCAGCACAAAAATGGATAAAAGCATTGAAAGCACCCAACTTTCAATATGACTTTTTATTCATTTACGAAATTAAGGATCCAATTAAAACACTAATGGAATAATGTAAATTAAAAATTTAAATTAAAAATATTGTATTTAAAAAAAAGTTTAAAAAACCGAGTAAAGCTATTTAATCTTAGAAATGACTTCTTCATTTCGTAATTATGAGCAACACCCTTCAGGAATAGGATCGAATGATACAACTTCCATTATGACTTTTTTGATTCGTTCGTCAGCATTTCTATATATTTTATAGCGTTTTGTGGGGTGGATATCATTGGTATATATTTTTTACTATAACGACGAAATAGTAATCTGACGCCTAATGGTCCCTCTGCCTAAAAGATCCTATGTCAAATCGGTAACGCCGAACCAGCGACGCCAAATCGGTTACGCCAGGATGTACCATTCCCACATATATATATGATACATCGATAAAGATGCAAGGGGAAAATGATCGGCTCTCTGTACCGCTCCTGTAAATGCCTGACTCCTTATAGTATCCTCTAACTTTATAAGGGCCAGATCAGGATGAAAATGGAGTACTGTTGCCATATTTGGGCGGGAGCTGCCCAGACCTCACTTTCCGGTCATGGCAGAGTTTAAAAGCATCTCCGAGTCCTTAGCTGGAGAAGAATTATTCTCCACCCTCCAACCTCTCTCTCACAGGCGGGGTGTGGCGAACCTTTCTACTCTATTGCTACTTCCATGGAAAGTGCTCGAAGGAACTGCATTTTTTTGGTTTCGCCAGGTCTAACTTTCACGGGCAGGACCCAACATGCCATTTCCATAGTAGCAAGTAGTAATTTGACTAATAAACGAGATATATATATATATATAGATAGATAGATGAATAGAGAGAGAGAGAGAGAGAGAGGGAGAGAGAAGAAGAGAGAGAAGAGAGAGAGAGTGGGAGAGAGAGAAGAAGAGAGAAAGAGAGAGACAAAGAGAGAGGGAGAGAGAGAGACAAAGAGAGAGAGAAAGAGAGATAGAGAGAGAAAGAGAGAGAGAGCAAATTTGATTATAACGACGAAGTAGTAATCTGATGCCTAATTCTACCTCTGCCGAAAAAATCATATGTCAAACACGCGAAGCAACAGAGACATTTACGGCAAACCGACGTGACAGCATCAATGAGACACATCCATTAAGGAAGGCGGGAGATTAAGCACCCAAATCTGTGGGCCAGAGTCCCTGTCCCCATTGCAGGCGTCTTTACCGTTCCCATATTAGACTCTACAGTCACCTTCGAGCTCATGCCTGCACAAAATGTCATAGTTGAACCCGACATACCACAACTACTGTATGTATTTATCCAATACATTTTCCATCGTCTGCAGACTATTTGCTCCCAGTATAAGTTATTCTTACATATGTCAAATCGGCTACACCGAATCAGCAACCCGAAATGGTCCACGACGGAACGTCCCATTCAAAAGGCAGACAGATGACACTGTTGACGGCAAACACAAAAGGAAAACTTTATTCTGGACAAAGTAGTAAAGAAAATCGAGAAGAAAATAACCATCAAATTGTAAGAATACGGAATATATGGTTGTCAGAATGAGAAAAAAAAGCCTAAGATACTTACAAGTAATTGGAGTTCTCGAAATCAAACAAATACAAAAGTTTAAATATCCGGGAAGTTTAAATATCACAGGGGACGGTAAATTGTGACACAGAAATCCGAAGGGACATTACAATGGTAAAAAGGCTCTTTACAAAAAGTAGACAAAGTATTAAGAAACAGGAACGTTTCTTTTGAAATAAAGAAAAGAGTGCCGAACTGATTTGCAATATAAATTCTTCAATATAGCATTGAATGTTGCACAATCTCCTCACATATGTAGTGAAAACTTGGAACAGTCAGAATCTGGTTCTACAGAAGGATGCCGAGAATACCATGAACGGAGCATGTAAAAAACGATGAAGTTTTAAAGAAAATAGAAACAAAATTATAGGTAGAATCAGAAAGAAAGACCTGAAATTTTTTGGACACACAACGAGGGAAGAGGGCTTGGAAAATTTGACATTCACAGGGCATATGGCCCGAGGGACGGAGAGAAACGGCGACTAACCTAACTAGTGAACTTATATGGCAGAACGAAGAGTGGGAAGTATAATAATGATAATAATAATAATAATAATAATAATAATAATAATAATAATAATTGTCAAAGTACAAGGACCTTGAAATAGAAATCTCGAAAATGTGGCATATGGGAACATCAACAATCCCTGTGGTAGTTGGAGCCCTAGGACTGGTTGGAAAAGATTGCAGTAGACAAACTGAAGGGATTCCTGGAAGTCCATGCCTCAAGGAGATACAAAAATTTTTCTGACAAGTACAGCCCACACCTTACGAAGGGCTTTATCTATGTAATTTAATTATTTTTTTCTTGTCAGTGGAAAGTCATGACGCCATTTCTAACCTTAGGTCCCTGGGCGGGACCCGGAAAGAAATGTGTAAACGCCAGAAATCAAAGAAAATAAAAATAATAATAATAATAAAAAACAATCATTGCTCAGAGCTACAAAGTATAGAAAATTGTAGAGATCCATAATCACCCACATCCTTAAGGAACACATCACGTAGAAGAATTTAGTGTCAGGGGAAAACATTAAACAACGAGATACCTCATCTTCGCATATTAACCTTATTCATATTTAATACAGCAATGTCATAGAGGTTCGCCATGGATACGTACCTATAGACACTGTCATCTGAATAAATACAAGTTACAGAAATCTCAAATTTACTTATGAACCTCCACTATATACATTCAATATGTCAGTGTTATGGAGAAAGTTACATAAAAATACTCAGACTACTTAGGGTAAAAGTTAACATAAGTAAAACCTCAACGTCACAAACTTCCCTGTTTATATTTAATATTACAGTATTATAGAAACAGGCTAGGTACAATACCAGTCGTTTACTGTATCTGGGTAAACATTAGCACGCCAGATAACACAATGCCTTATTTAAATTTATTTTGAAAATATAATGTAGTTAAGCTAGGTACAAGTACTGGTAGTCTATGACATCTGGAGAACCACTTGTCCATAGTTAAACTTTTGGAGAACTATTTAACCATAGTTAAACTTCAGATATGAACTTATATTTATATTTAATACTAGCAGTAGAGCCCGGCGTTGCCCGGGGATGTAACAGTAAGAGATAGATCAAGTATCGACCATCATAAAGACTGAAAAATAAAATTGACAAAGATTATTGTTTAAGGTTGACGGACACGCATGTCTTAAATAGTTTTTTTTTTTACGAATTTTTACGAATTGGTCAAACCCAAATTCAAACAAAAACATTGTTTACAATCGTTATGAGTCTATCGATTGGTGAATAGAATTTTATTATAAACAATTGTCTTGTAAATGAAATTTTTAAAGCATTCTGAATGTAAAAATAAAGAAAAAAATGAGCAAGACAATAAGAAACACTACCTGCCAAAAAAAAAGAAGTTTTGTTGAAATCGGTTGAAAAATGTAGGTAGCCTGTAATCTTTTTACAATTTATGATTTTTACTTATTGAATACAGTAAAAAAAAATTGTATATTTTGCTTGTGGTGATTCATAATTAGAATTCTGATTTGAATATATTTTCCACTCGTTGTTTCTAATACAAAAAATATTAACTTTATTTGGGTTTATTAATTTATTACAAGTACTGTGTTCTTTTTCCTTAATAATTATCATCTTCGAAATATTGTTTTTTATCTATCAGATTTCTTACGTCGGCATTTTAAATTATTTTTAATACTTTCTTTTAAATATTGAATTAATTTCAAATAGAACCAATGCCTTATTGATCATCTGCCTTGTAACAAATTGCAAAGGGAATTGTAAAAACGGCCTTTAAAGTACGTGGAATTATCTTTCCCTAAAGATAAAGAATTATCCGATTTTCGATTCGTACA